GGGAGGGAGGGAGGGAGGGGGACAGAGAGAGAGAGAGAGAAAAAAAAAAACCATCTACGTGAGAGAGATACATCAATTGGTTGCCTCCTGAAGGCACCCTGAATGGGGCTGGGGATCGAACCTGCAACCCAGGTTCTGTGCTCTCGAAACCCAGGTACGTGCCCTTGACTGGAATCAAATCCGCAACCCTTTGGTGTGTTGGTGTGTGGGCAGATGCTCTAACCACTGAGCATACCAGCCAGGGCTCTGTATGCATTCTTAACTGTGGCACTGTATTTTGGAACATCACAAGACTAAGATAACCATACAAATGTCAAATTACAGTTCTTTTTTGTTTCATATGAGTAAATTCTGGATCAAGTAGTAGAACTTAGGATTTCAGATTAATTTTTCATGTTTTTCTGCCTCTCCCTACAGATCATTTCCCTACAGGAAAAATTGAAACAGTTTCTGGAGAAGTGAGGAGAGCCTTCAGCTTTGCACACAAACCTCGGATTTCCCATCCAGATTGAAGACTGCATGAAACTGTGTATGTTTCTGTTCATTTCATTGCCTTATGTTGAATCATTTGTATTTGTTTCTCTGAGCCTTTTTTTGCTAATTATATTTGAAGTTTCTAGTAGTGTAGAAAGGGACAGAATGTAAAAAAAGTAGTAGACCTAAGGACCCAACTCAGCTATGGGACTTTCTTTCTCTTTATGAATTTGAGAATTATTTATACTGCTCTGCTCTCTGGTGCCATCAGATGATTCAGCCATGCATGCCAAAGACAGAAAGTCTAGGCCATGCACCTGGTCTGCATATATTTTAGCCTTTCCTTCTGTTTGCTTTATATATTTTCTAAAACATAGAACAAATCAAGTCGTTTCTACCAAGTGCTAAGACTAGCTACAGTGAATTTAAGTGCCTACTTCATGGCAGCTAATGGTAGGTTATATTCTGTCTCTGTTCAGGTAATAGGGGCTGCTTTCTTGTTCAGGGATTTAAAAAAAAAAACTTTATTAGCATTTATTTCATGCTGAATTTACTCTTGGGCCATACAATGTTGTTTCTTCAGTTTCTTCTTCTGGGATGTATTTTCCTTTTGTGCAACCTCTTCCTCTGGTTTAGGAACAATCTGCTATTTTGCAGTAAGGATCCTCTCAATGTGGCAGGGAAAGTTCATGTATGAGTTAATCCACCCATGAGCTCTGTAAATTCTGTGCCGCATCTTGGGAGTTTTTTTCACCTCGATGTGCTCCATGACCAGGTAATCTACATCTAAACCCTTAAGTTCAGCATTACTTTCTGCATTTTTAAGCATGTGCAGCAAAAATTCAGTACTCTTTTTGGGCCACCCACCCTGGGTCCAACCCCACTGTTTGACCTGGGCACACCCACCAACTCCAGTATTGTAACAACGGAATGACACAGTTGCTTCTGTTAAGTGACATTCTTCAGGTACTTGGTAGCTTTTTGAATATGCATATCCTTGATGTCCTGGGAAGTTTCACAAGTGCTCTTAAAGTGAACACAAAGATTTGAACCTCTTGATTTGCATGATTTTGTGGGGTTTTCTGGGTAGTGAATCATTTTCACAGGTCACCTCAGGACATTTAAGGAAAGAGTCAGGGATGATTTCTTGCCACTACAATCTTTGTTCTGCTGTTTAGGACTGTGTCTGGTTGTTATTTGCCAGCTAAGGGAATAGTTAGAGCAGAGATGAAATTCCAAGCTGTTCTCCTTATTCTGAGCCTCTTCATCCTAACCCCTATCAGAAAAGGTTAGGAAAGACCAGATGCTTGTGATGCCTGTAAAGACTCCTTTAAAAACTGTGGGTGGATTTGTTTATTCAACTGTATTGTTAAGGGTTTCTACTCTGTATTCTTTAAGCAATAAATAAATTCCTCATTTTAAATGGATTGCTGTCACTTAATTAAAGCACTCACATGATGAGTACACTCATATCCTAAAGGAAACTGGAGAGACAAGAAGTAAACTATGATTAGGAAATGTCACAAGATGCTGTCAGTACTGAAGCGCTTTCTAAAGAGCTCTTAGGATAACTCCTAAAAAACTAAGCAAATCATCTCATATTAACCATATAGCATTGGGATTTCGAGAGAGGGTAGAGAGATGTGATTAAAATGGCAGCTTTGCCTGACCGGGCGTGGCTCAGCGGTTGAGCGTTGACCTAGGATCCAGGAGATTGCGGTTTGATTCCCAGTCCGGGCACATGCCTGGGTTGCGGGCTCGATCCCCAGTGTGAGGTGTGCAGGAGGCAGCCGATCAATGACTCATCATTGATGTTTCTATCTCTCTCTCTCCCTCTCCCTTCCTCTCTCTGAAATCAATAAAAATATATATTTAAAAAAATAAAAAATAAAAAATGGCAGCTTCAATATTTGCATTGAATTATGTTGTAGTGGAATGAACACAAGGTTGGAATCTCAGATCTACTACTCACCTTGGGCAAGTTTCTATACCTCTTAGAGCCTCTATTTCCTTATCTGAAAATTAAGGGTGATAATGTTTATTAAGGGTTTTTGTTTTCTCTGCCACTTTCAGGTGCTCACATTCCAAGTTGAAGTTAGTAAGCCAAAGACAGAGAAGGGGAGGTTGGTATGTATGGGCAGGGCCTATGGAGGAGGGATAAAGATAGAAGGGATGCTGGGAGCTAACTAATGCAGGGAAAAAGTGGGACTAAGGGAGATAGACATGTTAAGGGCAAACAAAATGAAGCCAAGATTAGGAGAGAAGTTAGAGGACAGCTTGAAAACCAAGATGAGATAAAAACAGTTTTCCCCCAGAAACCCAGAATTTAAAAGATGAGAAGAAAGAGAATGAGTAAAAGGAATTGAGTGTCAGAGGCAGTCTCGCAAGGAGCTGCTATAAGACCAGTCTCCTTATCTTGAGGGAGACTGCCATTCTGGTGAGGCATGGGATTTTCTGCCTGCCCCCAGCCCCAAAGGGAACATCTGCAGGCCACAAAACTGCTTAGCTGCAGTGCGGAATTGGCTACTCAGCAAAAGGGAATCCCACCATCCATTGCTGTCTCTCTAAATAATATATTGTCTGGATCTATGTGGGTTTCTTGTTTCTTTATCAGCAGACTATGTAAACCCGTTTTACAATTTCTAAGACATTTTTTTTTAAAAAAGGGAATTTAGAATATCATTAAAAATTGTTTTATACAGATTACATGTTGAAATAATAACATATTGGATATACTGTGTTAAATAAAATATATTATTAAATTTTGTTTCACTTGTTTACTTTTACTTTTTAATATGGCTGCTAGAAAATTTTATTTATTTATTTTAAAATATATTTTCATTGATTTCAGAGAGAGGAAGGAAGAGGGAGAGAGATAGAAACATCAATGATGAGAGAGTCATTGATCGGCTGCCTCCTGCACGCCCCCTGCTGGGGATCGAGCCCACAACCTGGGCCTGTGCCCTGACTGGGAATCAGACTGTGATCTCCTGGATCCTAGGCCGATGCTCAACCTCTGAGCCATGCCCAGCCAGGCTAGAAAATTTTAAATTGCATATGTGGCTCACACTATATTTCTATTGGACGGTGCTGTAATAGATTGGTGAAAAAAGAAAAATTGGTGGTAGCAAAGAGGGACTGAGTTTTATTTTGCCAAAAAAATGGCATTTGTAAAAAAAAAATCACCACCAATTATTTACAGGGACATTATATACATATATGTATGTATGTATAATCTAAATCTAAGGGATAGACCTTTAAATTGAATAAATGTAACTTTATAGAAACTTACTGCATTGTTCTTTTTTGTATATTGTTTCAGGCTGGTAAAAAAAAATTCTCAGATTGATGAGGATGGTATTGAAGAACCATTGCCATAGGAGCGCATTCCATGAGGGGATAACTAGCTAATTTGGGTAGGGCTTTGAGAAGCAACCACTCCAGGTAACCGCGGTGGATGCAGCTAGTGGGGGTGTCTTTTTGGTCCAGTAGGTGTTGGACTCATCTGGTAACCTATGTTTTGCAGTGCTTCTGTGGCTTCTTGGCCCACCCTCTCTTCCCACACACAAATAAGGAAGGGTGTGGAATATCAGAGTCAAGGAGAATATATAACCAGAAGAACCAAAGTAAACAAATACAAATTTATTCTTTTCAAAGCAGAATTCAAGGGAAAGGGGGAAAGCACCACAGTGAGTGGCAATCAAAGTTAACCAATTTTTTCCCATCCCTGCCCATTTGTCCCAAACTTTTCTAGACTTATGTGCCACTCTTGCCACATGCCCCAAATCCCTTCCCCAACTCCCATTCTCGTGACCAGTTCTTGCAGCCAGCAAGCAGCATAGCGGGCTTCAGTCTGGCCTCAATACTGCTCTGGGGTCAGCAAGGACATTCAGCAGGTCCCCCTGCTAAATGCAGCAGCTGTGGGAGGAAATGGAGGCTGGGAGCTGAGCCTTGGCCTTGAGCCTTTCCCTCTCCCACAGCCATGAGTGTTAAAAGAGTAAGAAGGAACTGAAATATTCCTTTGTTCCTTGGGCCAGATTTTGGCAGGGAGGCCCAGAGATAGAAGTGCCCTGCTGAGCAGCTAAGTCTCCACAGCCCTAGGGCAAGGCCCCCAGTTTCTCCCCCAGGACTGCTTATCTTAAGGCAGCTACTTTCTTGATTATCTGTCACCTATGTAAAAGAAACTTTGATGAAATTCTTGGTCTGAAACAGTCTCAGAGGCCATGAGCCTACCATTGAGAATTTGTGTTGAAGGAACACTCTAGCTTGAAGCTGGATATGGAGCCCAGGTCCCAAACATACACCTCAGGTAGTACGAGTATTCCTTAAAATGAATCTGGAGGCAAACCATCTCCTAGAATTGGCCTCTGCCTGGCCTCAGGGTTTCTCATTACTGCAAACTACCAACCCAGTTCCTGAAGCAGAGAAACGCAAACAGGTTTCTCTGCAAGAAAATATTTCCAAACTTTGGGCTTTGTGGGAAATGGGTACTTGAGAGCCTTGATTTCAACCTTTCCATTCTGGAGGGAAGGGCACAGTTCCTCCTGGGTAGGGCCCTCCCTAGGGAACCATACAATAAACAGCCCGTGACCAACAGTCAGCCTTCCCTAACAATTTCCCACTCAACATGACTCTACTCTGCTCTAGCTATAAGCAGAGGCACCCTCAAAAAGGCTTTTTGGTCTCTATCAGATTCTATCGAGAATAAATCACCTTTCAGTTCTAACTGTTCATTGATACTATTTGACAACAACCCCAGCAAACAAACACTCACCTTCCTTATTACAGATGCTAACCCTGCAAGTCAGACGTTTTCCTCAGGTGGCCTACCCAGCAACTCCCTTCACCACACTTTCAGTTCAGGGTCATAAACTATGCACATCACGCACAATACCTCTAGGAGATACATACGTGATAGAAGCCTAATGACATACAACACATCTCAGTAAATCTCACCTTAATTTGGATTCACAGTGCCCAAGGATCCA